AATAAATTGCACTCATCTGGCAATGTGGAAGAAAATGTACAGTGAACATAAGTGAAAGAAGGTTGTACTCATAGCTCAAACCTGTAATGTAAAACGACAATTTAAATCTACCTTTGATTTAGAAAGACTTATGTATATTTTGTGAAGAAATAAAGTGTTTAGCTGGAAATTAATATAGATAATTAGTTACAGTGAGAAGCAATTACATTTTTTGCAATATTTCTATTCTTCTGGAAGGGGTTTCAGTTTAAGCAGACACTGTCCTTGAACTTGTACATGCAGTTAATGACTGCAATAAAACTATGAGGCTTAACGAAAACACATAAATCCATGGAGAAATCCTCCAGTGTTTAACTAAATCATCTACTGTGTTGTTTAGTGTGGCCCGCTGTGATAACATCCTGTGAAGATTTAACCTCTGCTCCAGAAAAAAAAAAAAATCTCCAAGAACACAGACACTTTGGTGCTTTATAATGCTTCCACATTGACTTTGTGTGTTTAAATCCTGCTGTCCAAAGATGGGAGCATTACCAGATTCATCAACTTGCAATGATGACGGAAAAAAAATGATGCTTTTTTAAATTCTTTGAAAGGGGTTGAGCCAATTTCTGATACTATGATCAAATAATAACGGCTGAAAGACAATTGCCTCGGAGCCCTCACTCATGTAACTTTTTATGATTCAGGTCAGTGACACACTTCTTTATCTGCCTTAATGTGAAGAGAGATAATTAACGATACACCTGACAGTAAGCATGTCAAAAATTAGAGCTCTATAATGACAATTTAAAAAAAAGATGAAAGACGGAGAAAATGAAACAAAGGTAATCTAATGTAATTAATTAACTATTTTATTGCCTTGCATGCCTCCCTGTGTTGTGATTGTGACATCAGAGAAAGTATGCATCATGCTCATACTCATTTAAACAATTTGCATCTAAGAGAGCAGCAGAGAAAATGTTAATGTGATGTTACTGATGTTTGGTTCAAGAGTGCATAGACAACAACCAGCAACCAACAGACCTGAGTCACACCTCAAGCTGACCTGCACCACACTGCCCTCTGTTTCTGCCAGCCTTTTTCCATCATAGCTAGATTTCTGATTTAAGGTTATTTTGAGATTTTGCTGAGATTTGGACTGATGAGTTAATGGCACGCTGTAACCTCTGAATTCATCTGTATTTAACAATGCAGCAAAAGAAAGGAAAACAAAGACATCATTGTCCAAAGCAATGTTTGGTCATCATTTATCAGAGACATCACCCAACTGTCAGACAAAAATCAAGTGAGAACAGTCAACTCTGCTCTCTGGTGGTGATTTGTAGACCTGCTCACTTGATCAATCAATAAATAATAAAATAGAAACTCAATCATCGGCAACCAAAATTTCCATCAAATAAAAATTAACTTAACTCATTGAAATACACACAACAGCCTACAAAAGGCAAGTATCCCTGTGGCCTCATTGCAGATATAGCAATGAAAATTGAACACTGCAGCAATTCAATCTGTTTTATGATCCTGTTGATCCTGCTGTTTTTTGATATATGAGATCAACTGATGTCTAATAGACAGTCATTCATTTATAGTATGTTGACCAGATCCATACAAATCATGCTATTACAGGGCTCATACTACAGTAAAGCAGAGTGGATGTATATATTGTGTGGTTGTAAGGTCATGGAGAGGCATGCTTTTTCTTGAGTGCTCTTTCAATAGCTGCAAAAAGATCATCTTTGCACAAACGGTGCAACAGAAGTTTGTGTTCATGCCACTGTGGGACAGTAACATACAACAACCAGACGAGGTCACTGTGGAGATACCCAGGAGACTTTCAAAGTTGGATCACAGGGAGTCTCCAACCATCAGGGGGAGAAAAGACTTGAAACCTCATTAACTGTGTCATCAATTTAACTCTAGCCACTTAAGGATGAGGTTCAAGTTTTCAATACCTGACCTCTGTCCCTGTATTGGCTGAAACAAGATGGATCCATTCAGGAAACATTCCTGCAGTAAATGCTCCTCCCTGACCATTTAGGGTGCCTGTAAACTATTAAGACCATAAAGCCTAGGTGCTGTTCAACACATGTCAGAGTGCTGCGTTTCATGGTTAAGCTCTGGGCTTAGCTGATCAAAGCTGCGGCACTCAACGCCACCAGGACTTTGCGGCTCATGCATCCGTCACACTCCTAATTAACTGAATGTTTCTCTGTTGTCCCCTGTGAAGTTTGCATGAAAAGAACAACCACTAAGTCTGAGCCGTCCAAACTGCGATAGATTATCCTATGTGTCAGGAAATGAAGCCAAGCCACAAAATGCTTTCGGAATCTGTGAAACCACTTCCTCTTAAAGGCATCTGTGAGGGATGGATGGGGAGGAGAACAAATGGATGTGTGGAAGAAGTCAATGATGAATGTATTGTATACATCAATAAACAGTATACAATAGAATGACATATGTTTACAACTTAACTAGTTGCTGACTAGTCTTCTACGCTGTAAAAACAATGTATAACTCATTGTCAGTTTAAGAAGACGTTATTGATTGTGTGTATGTCTGTGTATTCATTTCTAAAAATGTTGCTAATTCTTTTCTTGGGGATAGTTTATTTTTTGATTCATTCAACATCTTATGTTGAAAACATGTTTGTTGAAGTGAAATAACCATATGAATGAAGCAACTCTTTGAAAAAAATAAAAACAAAGAAGTTAAGGTAAATGTTGTGGTCACACAATATTTTGTGTTATTGTCATCTCAACCAATGAAATAGATTTCAACTTACTTAATGGATCCAATTGAAATAAAGAAGGAGTCAAAATGATGTACCTTATAATACAGTTGATCCAAATCGAAATATATAATAATGATGATGTTGTACAAAGTGGCTACATAGACAGAGAGCTAGGAACAGAAAGGACATTTTTTTGGTCATTTTGAATTAATAAAAATGTATCTATATGTATGACATGTAGTAGAAACCTAAAAGAAAGGTTTAAAGAAATATTTTAGAACTTACATTTGGCGTAACAAGGCATGCCAATTATATCAATGATCTTGTTGGAAATTCCATAAAAAGTTTGCAAGATTTTCAAGTGATGTATGCAGTGGGACTTCTGGTTTAAAATAACACTTATGGGGATGTTTATCCCAAATACCATCCTGCATCAGCTGATACACATGTTTTACTCTTTTTACGGTAAAATTGTATTAGCAGTATTAAATAATATCAGCAGTGAGTGGCAAATAACATTAACTAATCTCTCTGTCTTATTTGGTTCTAACAGAAAATCTCCAATCTCTCCTTTTCCATATTGTAGATGTAGAGCATGCTCATTCGCTTCGTGGGCTCAATGAGAAAAGAAAATACAGCACCATGACCCATGTTGTTTTCATCGCAGAGCTGAGACATTTCCTGCAGTATGTGTTTATTAACTTGAGGTGTGAACTCTCCCCCGACGGGTTTTCACAGATACCTGTGAGGACAGTGAGGAGACCATCCCCCAGCCGTCTCTTCCGTGGTTGTCTCCATGACATCCTATTTTGTCTGTCCATTTTACCCCCCTTTTCCATGCCTCAGAGCCCTTCAAGTGGGAATATACCTTTAATGAGTGTTCACCATCCCCTGTCTCGAGGGCCCTTTTCACCTTCACAAACCCACCGTCTTTTCTTTAGTTCATCTCCCTCTCTGGTCCCTCCCTTTATGTCTGTAAATGTACAGTACATTCCATCAGCGCTACCTTTTATGGGTTTCAAACAGTCATCACAAACTCTGTCTCACCTGAGGTAGCTGAATAGATTTAGAGTTTTAACTTGAGTGTCGACTGAGGAAATTAAACTCAGCTTGTCTATTTTAAACTGTATTCGTCTTTTGTTTTACCTGTTTTATAAACTGGGGACTTAGTGATGATGTATTCAGCATTCCACAGAACATTTGCATAATGTACTGCGTCCCAATTTCAAGCCTGCAAGTCCAATATTACATTTTGAATAATGTGAGAGTTGTGGAAGAGATGCCTGGGAAATCTAAGTTCAGAAGTTAAAAAACAAAACCTCCATCCTAATATGTCAATAGAATAAGAATGTGGAAGTCCATTAGCAAGCTTTTTCAAAACATTACAAACCTGAACTTGAACAACCAAAGGACCATTTCTTAATAGAGATATGAACTTGTGCAACACAAAGTTTGCATTAGGCTTAAACCACACTTCCCTTCCCAACAACTCATCTTTACACTAAACAGATCAAAGCTGTTACCACTGTAAACAAAGGCTACATAGCCCCACAAATGACTGCCACATGTGAGTGGAGCCACAATGACCACTTAAAGGATTTCTCTTCCCTTTGCCAAGTCTCTAAAATACAAAGACTCAGGTTGAAACAAGTTCAGCTACAAAGGCATCCCTCCCACTTTGAAGCACCCCACAGCTGCTGACAAGCATGTGACCAATGTGGTGGATGGAAGGCGTCTGGGAGGACTGACAATGAGATCCAGTGTAAACACACACCCATTACTAGTCGGTAAAGTATAAACACACAGTGCATTTGTAGAGACCTCGACATCAACACAAGGTGATCAAACACAAGGATAGAGAGACAAGAACAGTTCCTTGTAACCGGTGTCAGTTCACAGACTAACTGTGAGGAAGAAAATTAGGTTAGCTTTCATTACCACTTTGTGGCCCCGTCTCCTTTGTGACTGCTATTTCTCCAAGGGTTACAAATACTCAAAATATCTTGACTTGTCACATGGCGTTCTAAGTTGAAATCAGTGTTTTATGGGCAATGGTGAATTATCATCCCTAAAGTGCTGTCATTTGTTTAAGCCCACAGAGACAAATGATGCTCCCCTTATGAGACTAAGACATTGTTCCCAAACAAACAAGTTAAAGCGGCACATTTAGTCTTAACTCATGGTAATGGTGGGGCCAAAAAATCAACAGCAATACAGGAAGTAAGATAAGGAATAATAAAGAAAAACTAAGTATAAGTGGAAACATTACCTGGGGATCTCTTGCCAGTGCGCAAAGGCATCATGTAGGACTGTCTTGGCAGGAGAGGTGAGGATGGAAGCGACATGGACACTCCCTTTGTAAGGCTTAATCTGAAAACATCATCCGGTACGTTAGGATGGCCGCTGCCGGGCCCCATCTGTTGAGGGTTTCCCTCAGGTGGGAATCTCCTTTGGGCACTGTGGCTGTGGACATCGCCTGTGGGATAGAAGCACATGTTTGTTATGAAAAGCTCTAGCTTTAGCTTTACCTTTACCTGGCTTTATACCTTTTATATGAAGGTATAAATTAGCTTTCAGCAGCAAAAAAATCAATACATCTTTATTTGTATCGTGCCAGTTCATAATAAGTGCTATCTCAAGACACTTTACAAAGTGCAGGTCTAAACTACCTTAATGATATTATTAACATAGACCGAACTTTAATCCACCATGATGCAGCACTAAGCATCATTTAGAAAAGTAGCAGCTACGAGGAAAAACTTTCTTTTAACAGTCAGAAACCTCAAGCAGAACCAAACTCATGTTGAGCAGCCATCTCCCCCCTGTGTTGGGCTTGGAAAGTGATAGATGCAGATGTGGATACAGAAAGAAGGAGAAGGATAGAGACAAACAGAACAACAACAAAGAATGACATATACTTATAGCTACATTGCCAGTAATACAGGTAGAAGTATGAGATGTGTAGTATTAGCAGTAACAATAAAGTATGATAATAGAGTGAACATTTGAATACTAACCTTAGCAACTATAATAGTAATGAAATGGGGAGGACTGATGGTGTTAATTAGAGCAGCAGAAGTCGAGCGGCTCTTAGATTCACATTTACGTTTATTATAATTCAATTAGAAGGCTATTTATGTAGTGAAGAGTTTTCAGGGGAGTAGACAGGGAAGCTCTGTGGACTTTTTAACCTGTTTTCATGAAGTGCTATTGTGTTAAGACATTATTAACTCTAAGAATTCTAGAAGAAAGTACTTGTGTGTGTTGTTTGAATAAAATGCACAATAATCTGCATTGTGAATTAGCACAATGTAACACAGGGCTCTTCAGGCTCTGCGACTTAAGTTCTTCAAAAGCAGAAATGTTCAAATAAATAAAACATTAATCATGCTTAAGAGGGTTAACAATGCCTGTTTGAATCTTTATAGAATGCAAGAACTTCGTGAATGTGATTCATGTATATTTTAACATCACTTTATTATCTTTATTTGGTTTTACCTTACATATATAAAGACACTTCCACTATAAATGATGGCCTAAAAATAAAGGAGAGTACAGGTTATAAAGAGTTTGACAGTAAATCAACAAACTATATCAGTCACAAGAGCCTCTGACTGGAGGTGTTTTCAGTTTTCAGTCACTATAGTTACTTACTCAGCCATACATCTTGTTTTTTTATGGACTGAATCTTATACAGTACAGAAGCCAGAACCAGCAATAACAGGATAAATTAAGATGACCAGGCTAACCTTGAAGGAGAACCAACTGAAACAATGTACAAAACCATTTTCTATTACTACCATCCAGAGTCTGATCACACAGAATGTAAAACCTCAGAGGAAACATTGGAATAGCTTTTGCTGTAAAAAGCTGCCTGCTTTTGACAGGATGGAAAGTTTGAGTACACATTTATATCTTTTTTAAAACAGTTTTTGAGCAGCTAAGCAAAACTGGCTGACACGATTTCCACCTATATTTTCACATAACAGTATAGAACTTGCTCCATCCAAGGGTATTCAAACAGATTTAATGTAACCAGGGGCAGGGTGGCCAACGGGAGCTTTAAGGGAGGGGCAATGAGCGACCCCTCCTAATTTGGACTGATCTTTGTTTGTTATTGATATCTGATTGGCTCATGCGGGCTCATCATGACCAAAAATAGAGTGTTTGCAGGCGTCTGAAGTTGTGAAACTTAGACGCTAAGCCTGCACAAGATGCAGCTAAATGCTAAATTGACCGATATTTTCCACGGTGCAGGGTCCAACAGTCCAATTATCTACATGATTGGTACAGTGGCAAAAACTCATAGTCTCAAAACACTATAAACTTTACAGTTCATACACAAACAGTGTGAGAACTCAGTCAGTTGTTCGTACAAGAAAACACTGGTCTTGAGTATTTAAACTTGATGGCTGCGTTAGCAAACAAAAGCAATGCTAATGTGAGGAGGTGATTAAATGTTTACAAATGGTGAATTTCATGAAATAATAGTTTCCACGGAAATAACTAAATATTTGGTGTGAAGCATCCACTTAATATAGGCACAACTTGATATAAGGGCCTCTCCATGTCAAAGTCTCGGGTTGAATTTCTGTCCCAGCACATCCCTGAATGTAACCATGTTACACAGATAGGTGCCACAGGCTTGCAGAGAAACCAGCTTACACGGTAGGTATAAATCAGGATTTCAGCATAAACTAGAGTGGTCTCTAACTCAGATTCCCTGCTTCATTGGAATGAAGCTTGAAAATATATACTTTCTGTCATATCATGTACCACCCTTACATGGGATACTAACTCAGTGATACAGATACTTCAGCTTGCCTAAGATGGTTTATCTAAGCTGTCAATACACTGCCCATACTGCTTCATCTTCTACTGCTCAATGTTGCATTATATTATCAGACCAGTCAGTACAGCATTCACCTGAAGACTCTATTTTTCTCAATAAGAGGAAGTTTACTGACATCATTCCTCACTCTAGACTTTGCTGAGCTTTGCGTTTACCAGCAGGGGTTGATTAAGAGTCTTACTGCCAAACAAGAACTCAGTTCATACTCTGTATACACATAATACACATTATCAGATGTGATACAGTTTACAGACCGATGTCCTTAGGAATAAAAATGTCCTCACATTTGAAAAAACGTTTGCAGATTCTGGGGCAAAGGCATTCTGATAGTAACATTTTTGACCACCCACATCCTGCAGTATGGTTTTACAATCAAAAATTTAATTCAAGGTTGTATTCCAGTTTAATGATCCAACTAAGCTCAAATAATTACAGTAACAGACGACTGTTGTTAATAAAATCAACTTCACAGAATGCAATGCCAAAAAAATGTCAGCGATAAGTCTCTTCAGGGACACAAACAGGGATGACTGCTGATACTGGAAAACACAGGGACACATAATATGTATTTAAACCCGGGGTCATGGGCCACTGAGCGTTTCTCACACCGTATGTGCACATGAGAAGGACATCCAGTTAGCGGAATAAACAAGGTTGTGTCACTGACCACTGAGATAAGATAACATGTAATTCACTTAACCACACTGTCTAGATGTACCTTGATGATAATTATATTTGGTAGAGTATCTCTCAACGAGCTCAATCAATACTCTACTTGCTGCAACCATGATTAACCACAACTTTCACAACAAGTGCCCCCAATTGCCTGAGCTCAAATATGTCATAAGATTAATGATTAAGTACAAATGGTGGAACTTGAGGCAGAATGTGCTGATGTTGTTGTTATAAGAAGGCTGAAAGAGATAGCCGTAAGAATTACATTTCAACTCGTGGTGACATCATAAGTAAAGAAAGTAAGATCTAGAGTTGCTGCTTGTGCTCAGATTGCTTTACTTCTGAGTAGCTTGAGACATCAAGAGAAAAAAGATATATCAGTGTCACTCCCTGATTCTTATCCAAAAATATGTCTTGAAGGAGAAAACCTCACCTGTGAGAAAACATTTCCATTGTACCCCTCAGGAGTACTTTTGCCTCTTTAGTTGCCATTTGTGCTAACAACCTCCCTGCCTGTCTATACTTGACTAAACTAACCTAGGAGATCTGCTTTTTATTATGCTTTCAAAAGTGACGGAAAGTTTTCTTTGCTTTTTCCCATGTTAAAACCAAACAATAAAACAGAAAAACCTGTAAAGCTGGTAGCAATGGATTGTAATAATATTAATTTGTTCAGAAGTCTGCCGGCTATGTGAGCGAGAAACTTTCTCATAAGGTGTCACATTGCTCTTAATGCACTCATTTATACTTTCAAGATAGCTATATTTCACTTGATCTACTGCTACACAGAAAGTGGATATTCCCTACAGTGTCTTTTTTCTGTCTCAACTTTCAGATACTGTCATTTTTTGTTGTAACAGGCCCAACAGTCAGTTCACAAGACTTGGTTCAAGACTTGAAAATGACTTAACCTGGTGACTAGTTTGCTGGGTGAAATCCAAGCCCAAGATGGAAAAAATGGCTTTGCTTTACGGAGCACTCATCCTTCATGGAAAGACCATTCCAACCATGGAGCCGGCTAACTGCAAAGTAATCCGTCCTGTGGCATTAAAGTTGCCCACTCATCATTGCCACAAATTAAAATGTAAGAATTATCAACCTCAAGATAACATGTAATACCTTACTAATAACACAGGTCATACGTCAGCAGACCCAGCTAAATCAGAACTGCAGATGTGGTGAACCACAGTAATGACAATTAGCTTTTCAAGACCCTGCTGCACTGGAAGACATGCAGCAGATTATCCCTGACGCCTGTCTGCAGCCAGAGGTTTGCAGAAATCACTGAAGACTCAAATACAAGAGGCAAACTACTATATTAGCATCCTGGCTTGCTCCTCAGGGGAAATGAGTGTTGTTGGGCTGCCGGGTTAATCAGAAACAGAGACCCATTTTCTCATTGCCTCCGCCTCGCCGCAGGGGACATAAAAGCGGCTCTGTTTTTTAAAGGGCTCCTAAACAAAGAAGAATGCCAGAGACAGGAAGCAGAAAGGTTGCAATGACACCTCTGCATGCCTTCAGATGTGGAAAAACCTCTGGACTTGCTGTGTTCCTGACCTGAGTGGGAACTGCTCAATGCACATTGATACTGACACACAGGGGTCTATAGTGACCATTTAGAATTTTTGAATTTTTGGTAGATTAGAGGACCGGGGTTTTAGTGGTCATCATGATCTATGGCATCTAGCAGCTATGGCTTTGAGATTTTACAAGTTGTCCACTAATTGGAAGATCGAGGATTCAATCTCTAGTTCCTAATGCACTATTGCAGTGACAGTGGGCATGATACTGAACTTGAAATTGCTCTATGCTAAGGCTGAACAATATTGATAAAAACAGACATTGCAATATGTTTTCTTTCTGTGATATAAACTGTGATAAAAAAAAGGAAATTAAAACAGATAAATGCGGTCTAAAATCCCCTCCTACTTTCATCACACACTGACTGG